GGGGGGGGCGTGGGTTACTCATCAGTGTCATCGTCCGGGCAGAAGCTGGACGACTGTCTAGCCCCTAGATTTTAAAAAAAACAAGCTTTGGCATTTGGTGAGAGGACAGAGAAAATCATCCCTAATGTTTTAAATCTTTACACTTACACGATTTGAAGGGGAACCTTCATTCCCAAGTCCCTGCTGAGACGTGTCTTCCTCTGCTCCCTGCCACTGGGTGTCATTTCCCAGGCCCTGAGCTGGCCTGTGGGTGGCCCTGAATCCACCGAAGGGAGTCAAGGCCATCACATTCCTTTCAGCTTTCATGAGCTCTGAATTGAAACACCTGTTTTTAAAATTCACAAAATAAGATAAATGGTGATCGGAAGCTTTCATTCTGGCTTGGGAGCCTCCCCATCCGTCTTGGCTAAGAACTTCCAGACCATGAAGAAGCTTTTTCCCTGTTGCCCTTCAATAGAGGAAAGAAAAGGTAATTGCCTCCTAAGTTGTGTCCCAACTCCCTCGTTCCCTGGCCGTCCCCTCCACGGGTGCCGTGGTGGCCCGGGGCTGGGGACAGGCAGGAGGTGGCCCTGGTCGGGGGAGCTCCTGCACTGTGTCCACAGCCGTCCCCTGCTGGATTCCACAGGGCACGCTGTGGGGTCCTGGCGAGGTGGGCGGAGTCCAGCGTTCCTACACCCACAAACTGGGCTCCTGAGCCCTTACCCTGCTATCGTTTCCTTTAATCAGCCCTTCAGGGATTTGCTTATTATTATTAGGGGTCTCTCCCAACTGGAATGCAAGCCCCAGGAGGGCAGGGCTTTGGTGGGTGTGCTGTGTGTTTCTGGATGCACGTGAAGGTCCCAGCACCGACCTGCCGTGGCATGGGCGCTCCCACATCTGTTGAAGGAAGGAATCTGGTGGGTGGGAATTCAGTGTTTGTTTGAAAAAAAAAATCCTTTAAGGTAAGGGTGTTTTATGTTTAGAATTCGCCAATAAACCTTGTGTTAGTCTGGTTCTCCAGAAAAACAGGACCAGTAGGATAGACAGATAGATAGATAGATAGATAACATTTTTTTAAGGAATTGGCTAATGCAGTTGTGGCGGTTGGCAAGCCCAAAACCTGCAAGGCAGGCTGGCAGGCTGGCAGGCTGGCAACCTGGGGAAGAGCCGATGCTGCAGTTCAAGTCCAAAGGCAGTCTGCTGGCAGAGTTCTCTCTTCAGGAGATCAGTCCGCTTCTATTAAGGCCTGCAACTGATTGGACGAGGCCCACCCACATTATGGAGGATAGTCTACCTTGCTCAGAGTTCTCTGATTCAACTATTAGTCTCATCTTCAAAATACCTTTAAAGAAATATCTAGAATAATACTCAAACAAATATCTGCATGGTGTGGCCTGGCCAAATGGACACATAATATCAGCCATCACAAATATCAGCCCAGCCACGTGTTTTACAGGGGAAATGACCTCAGACAGCAAACCCTCAGCCTACAGATCAAGCAGTCGCGTCACGGTGAGGGAGATGACCGGCCTACATGAAGTCACAGATGACGCGCCCAGGGTCCCAAGGCTCCTGACCGCCAGTCCCGTGTTCAACTACCAATGCCGCAAAAGGAAGCAGCCCCACAGTGCTGTTCCAGGTGGTCGTGTGTGTGTGTGCGTGTGTTCTGTTTTTGAGAAAAAGCTTTGTCCCTTCAACCAAAGCTCATCCCAGCTAACAGTAGGCTTAAGGAATTTATACTGTTTATACTATGGAATGATATGGTTTGGGGAGATACCATTCCTAGATGTCCGCACTTGAATGGGCATCATCTGAATCACGTTATCACGGTCCGTTTTGTCTTTAAAACGCTGTGTGTATTTTCCGCCGCGTTCCGGCGGACATGTGCAGCCCAGTGGGGAAGGGCGGGCTGTCACAGGGTGAAGCAGGCCTACCGAGATGGACTTCTCCAACAAGGTACCTCTGAGCAAAGACCCGGGAAGGAAGGGAGGCTACCTGGGGGGAGAGGTCTGAGGCAGGGCACGTGCCAGCGGAGAGGGCCCCAGTGCAGAGCGCACGGGCCTGCTTGAGAAAGAGCAAGGAGGCGCTCGCTGCGTGCATTCTGTCCTACCCGCCCCCAGCAGAACGTGAGACCCAGTGAGGGGGCCCCGTATATAGGAGACAAGGGTGGGGGTGGGGGCGCGGAGGTACGCAGTAGCTCACACAGAGCCTCGCGGGTTAGTTTGAATTCTACTCTGAAGACTTTTGGGCAGAGAAATGCCCCAGTATGTCTGAATTTAAAAAAGAATCCCGCGGGTCACTGCGTCTAGACGAGCCCCGGGCTGGCGGCGGCGGCGGCAGAGGTGGGGAGACCAGCGCGCGGAGAGACTGGAGCAGCGACCCGGGGCGGAGAGGCCGGCGGTGCAGGCCAGGTGGGGGCGGAAGTGAGCAGAGTCCGGGAGGGCGTCGAGGGCCGAGGTCTGGAGCTCTGTGCAGAGCCCCAGGTGTGGGAGACTCAGATTCCGGAGGTGCAAATTTTCGTTCGGTGTTGTTTAAACATTGAGGGGGCACATTCCCATTAGCCTGGCACTAACGTAGGCATTTCAGGTGCAGATATTAAGGGTCTCTTAACGAATGGGAAAAGCAAGCATATCAATAAACACTGAAGTATTTAACAAAAGTAGGTGCAAAAGCCTAAAAGGATGCAGATGTGGGGGTGATTAATTCATTAATTCTGGCTGTGGGAATGAATGGCCAGGAAGGGCCTCGGAGAGGAACTAAACAACTGGGCTGAAACCTGCAGGTCAAGGACCAAGTAGGATATTCCAGGCCGAGGGGAAGGCCTGAGTATGTACAGTCTCAGGTTTCATGAGGCAAAGGGGCTCCAGGGTGCCTTCACTTGTAACAGATCAGCCAACTCAGTACCTGATACATTCCCCCCCTAGTCTGGAAACTACCCAGCAACATCTACTACTACAGACCTACTCACAGTCCCGTATGAAGTCTGGGGACCATTAATCAGGGACTTCAAAATAAAGACCACCTTTCATGTATGTTGCAAGTTTCTTCTGGTTCCAGACTATTTTATATTGATTAGTGTGCCTTTTCCTATGTCTTTCTGGCATGTGGCCTTTCTTTTAAAAAAAAGTAGAGCTTCTCTGTTTACTTTTTAATTTTATTTATTTTTAGAGAGAGGGGAAGGGAGGGAGAAAGAGAAGGAGAGAAACATCAATGTTTGGTTGCCTCTCACACGCCCCCTACTGGGGACCTGGCCTACAATCCAGGCATGTGTCCCTGACTGGGAATCGAACCAGGGATCCTTTGATTCACAGGCCTGATCTCAATCCACTGATCCCCACCAGCCAGGGCTGCATGTGACCTTTCTACCAAGGTCGGAGCGGTAGCTAGAGCAACTGTGCTTTCTTGTCCCACACAACGCAGGCTGCCGCTGAACTCAGAGAAGAGGGATTTTAGGTAAGGCCCTGACATCGTCTCAGGGCATGAACAAAAGAAAGAAAGGGTTTCGTGAATCCACCTGGCACCTCCCAGATGGGATCAAGATCCTCTGAGCTGCAGGGGTGGGGGTGGGGGCGGATGGCGGGCAGGGAGCAGGGTAAGAAGAGGGGACAGAGAGGGAGCTCAGCAGTGCCGGCGGTGCCAGCGTCTGGAGAGCCAACTTGGAAGGTCACCTCAGACAGCAGCAGAGTCAGCAGGTGGGGACTGCCGCCTCCACCCCTGCTAGTGCTGCCCTTTCGCCAGCTTGGCCTGGGCTGACCACCCATCAGTTCTGCCTGCCTGTGCTCTGACCTTTCTTCAGGTGGGCAACTCCCTCTTTAAAAAAAAAAAACTCCAGACCCTGGTAAGACTCCTACTGCTCTAGCAAAGCGGAGATCTCCAGCCGTGGAGGGGTTCGGGGAGGGTCTAGGGAAAGAAAGTCTTACTGTACTCTGGTGAGACAGAACACGACCAGTTCGAAATCACCATCCACCTGCCTTCTTCCTTCCTGCACGGGGCAGGGATGGCACACCCGCCCCCCCTTCCAGAATCTTTCCTCCTTTCGTTCTGTGTGCCTTTGCCTGGAGAAGCTGGCTTGTTGAGCCACAGCTCAGCCTTGGAAAGGACCCTTAGCAACAGAATTTTCCACTGATCGGATTCCTTTAAAGACAGGCGCGTCGTCTGCGGCATTTGCCCCTCCGATGTCTTTGCATTGGTCCTGTGTGGCTTCCCAAGTCCCACTCCCCACCCCCTGTACTACTCTGTATGCCCAGGGAAGAATCTTTTATTCTAGTGCAGAGAAGCTTGATTTAAATGTAAGTTGTTGTTGAAACATTTTTTTTCCTGAGTATAAACTTGGCTTTGTGTCTGGGAGCCCTGCAGAAAAAAGAAAAAAAAAAAGGAACCGAGTAAGCCAGCGCTGTTAGAAGCTATTAGACAAACGAGGTTACAACAGGCAGCCAGTAACAAAGTAAATAGTAAAAAGATAGCACGAGTGGCTGCTCCTTCAGATCTCAGACGGCCTGCAACTGGACTTTTGTACTTTCTGCTTAGAAAAGCACGCGGGGACAAGGAGTTTGATGCTTTACAAAATGGCACGCTTAACTTTGGGAAGCACGTCCTCAGCCGGCCGTGTCTTCCCTGCCGAGGCATGAGGTGGGCAGGCCTGCATCTGACACACGAACTATGCCCACGACCAGGCGGTGAAAACGCGTCCCCTAGGTCACGGGCAAGGCCGATCCCCTCGGCGGGGCCCGTGTCCGGACTCCCTGCATGCCTCCTGTCCTTGGCGAACTCCTCTCCCTGCTCTAAAAAAAAAAAAAAAAAGGGCCTTCCCACTTTTAGCTAGCTTTTCTCCGTGCGCCAGCGAGCAGGAGCTTGGGGATAGGATGCGGGTGGTGGGCGGCAATGTTGGGTCGGCGAATCACGCTTTCTGAGCTCCCCGACTGGTTTTTCATCCCGTTCTTGCGGGGAACTTGCTTTCCTGTAAGCAAGCTCTCGTCTGTAAGCTCTTTTAGGTCCTGCCTTCTTTTTGGGACCGGGGGGTGGGCGGAGAGGAAGGAAGCGTCCTGCAACTACCAATATTTTCCTCTAGGAGGAGCCGCGCAGCCCGGAGGAGGGTGACACGCACCAACTCCAACTCCGCGCCGGGAAACGCTTCCTCGCAGCTCCCCGGCATGCGTGGCCCGGACGGCGCTCGGCGCCCTCGCAGCGAGCCCCGAGCCGGCCGCGCCGAACTCCCGCTTCGCGTCGCTCCCGCAGCCCGGGCCCCGGGGGCGGCGGGCCAGGCCCGGCGTGACCCCTGGTGAACCGCGGCCGCCGTTTCCCACCCCTCCCGTCCCGGCCTCCCTTCCCGTTTCACCCCGCCCCCTCCCTCTCCCCGAGCCTGACAGCCGGGGAGCTGCCAAGCTGGGCGCAGCCATGGGAAGAGGAGGCGGTCTAGGGAGCGGCGGCCGTGGCGGCGGAGGCTGCTGCAGCGGCGGCGGCGGCTGCTGAGCCCGGGCGCGGCGGGGACCCCGGGGGCTGCGGCCGCGCGGGCCCGAGGCCCCCGCGCCCTCGGCCGCAGCGCAGATGCGAACCCGCGCTCTCAATCCGGAGGCGAGGCTGGAAGGTACTGGAGCGGGTTCCGGTGTCGGGTTCTTATTTTCCCCCTGTGGTGCCAGGGCTCTTGGGAGTGGACCTTGGGACGCCCGTGGTGTGCAAAATTGGGGGTCTGTCTTAGGTATTTACACAGATCGTGTTTTTTCCCCGGGTGACTCGGGGGTTGGCTGTGCCCCCCTCCTCCTGGAGAAGTTTTCTGTTGGTGGGTTGTTGTAACCGGATCCACGCTGTGGTCGTGTGTGTGTGTGTGTGTGTGTGTCTGGTAGGGGCAGCCGGGAGTTGGGGGCGTCAGGAGAACCATCCTACGTTGACGCCGGCTCCCACTGCTGCTTGCGGCGCCTGGAGGGGCTTCCTCCGAAGACCATTCTGTTGTAAAAGTTTTGCGAGTGTTTCTATTTGACATCATCAGCTGGGCTCGGGCAGGAACCCTGACGCTGCCGCTGCTCAGCCGGGAGAGGTCCCGAGCGGCGCGACCCGAGCAGAGGGGAGGTCGCCGGGCTGTGCGCGTCTACACCGTGCGCTCCTCCCCAAAGCGCGCGGCCCTCTGCGGCGTTGGTGGCGGCGGCAGCCTCGCACTGACACCAGAGGAGCTGGGGTCAGCAGAGTCAGGGCGACCGGTCCCCATGAGCTGGGGTGGCTGGAAACCGTGGCGAGCCGAACTCCCCCACTCGTGGTTATGAAATCAGCCAGGCGCCAAGTTTTGACAGAACTGCCCGAGGCGTGAGGGCTGCGATAAGAGGGGCAGCTGCGAGTCTGGGGAAAGGGCCCCGGCGGCGCTCGGAGGGCGCCCGGGCAGTGTCCCCCACTTGAGGGTGCGTGAGAAGTCTGTTTGGGGGGGCGGGGGCGAGTGCTTTCTGTGTAACCCAGAGGGGGACGCTTGCCGGGGCCAGACTGCGGGTGTTGGTGGCCTGGCGCTGGGTTTGTGTACTGAACGAGTGTACGTGTGCGGGTGTGTGCGCCTGGGGAGGCGTGTCAGCTCCTGGGCCAGTAGGTGTGCAGGGGGGAGGAGGGGGCCAGAGGGCTGCCTCCGGCCTGTTGGACATGCCAGGAGACCTTGGAAGGGACAGGGAAAGGTAATGGGAAGCCTGAGGACTGGGAAGTTGCAGGAATCCCTGAATAGGACTTACCTGAGTTCCACGGACTTGAAAAGGCTAGACGCATTGCCTTTCAGAGACAGAGGGATGGAGGTGGTTTCCAGAACTCTCAAGTATAGGCAGACCTGTATAGGCACACAAAGAGTCTAGGTGTGTGTGTGTGTGTGTGTGTGTGTACAGAATGCTGGAGACCCCAGCCCAAGCCAGAGCTGCAGATCTGAAATTCCCAGGGTGCTGCTGTCCATCATGGAGTCTAGAAGGTGTCTGCAGTGTTTCCTGGGAGAATCCCTGGCCTGCGTGCCTGGGATGCCACTCACCTTTTTTCAGAGATGCTGTGGCTGCTCTGTGTCCTGAGCAACTGGTGTTCTAAGCTAGTTTCCAGCTGGGTCACACTGGATGTCCTCCCCCCCGCCCCGCGGGGTACCAAGGGGTAGACCTTGGAGGGATCTGGTACTGAGACATTTCCAGAAATTAAAATGCTGGATAGAAACAAAATAAAATGATTTAGCAGACAGGGTTGTTGGTTCCATCTTTTCTGTGATTGGGGATTCTGTTTCCTTTTGAGAAAAGCAAAGCTTAGCTGTCCCAGGTTGGATTTCAAGGGGTCTCTCCTGTTATTTATGGTTCCCCTTCAGAGGGACTTGGGGAGCGCGCTTTATAGCAGAAGCATGTCCCATCCCTAGCCTCCTCTTCCACCCTTGCAAACGTGCTGCTCCCCATTAGCCTAAGGAAAGCTGGTGAGTCAACATTCAGCTTTCCTTCTGGAGTAAATATATCAGAGTGAAATTACAGTTTGGGTCTCCTGAATGCCACGGGAAGCCAGCACTTAATGGGCCAAAGTGTGAAACGAGAGTCTATAAATGCAGTGACAAAGTGCCGACATGGGTGCCTTTTTTTTCTCCAAACCGAGCATAATTTTGCCTTGCAAATATTTGTCCTAGGCAGAGCTTGGGAGTGCGTTTTTGGTTATTGGTTTTTAAACAGCAGGCTCCCTCCCTGTCATAAACCACTTAAAAATGGACACCCGACACCCTCTCTGTGCTGTCTCTGGCGCCTGGATTAACAGATGTTTATGGTGCTTGGTAACCTATGGGACTGTCTTGTTGAGTGTCTTGTCAGCTGAGGACATAATGTTTAGAGCACAATGCAATAAATGGAGCTCCAGTGTGCGGCCTGCTTCTGCCAAGTGTGTGAAGGGCCCAGTATGGAAACAAATCTTGAGATCCGTCCAACTTGGCGAGCCTGTTTGGCTATCTGCTGGGAAGCGTTGTTAACGTAAAGATGAATCTGAGCGAGACGGAGAATACCACACGGCAGATTGTTGAGCTTAGAAAAAAGGCGTGGGTTAGATTTTTGAAATCTGCTACCCCAAAGCTAAAGCTTCTCTGTCATTCCACTGGTAAATTGCACAATTATGGAGATGTGGTTTGCTTTTAGAGAACAAATTTTTTAAAAATATGTCAATAATAAAAATAACTTCTGTTTCTTAGTGTGTTCCTATGTCGATCCAAACCATCACTTTTTCTTCTAAAAAAAACAACCTTATAATCTTGAGACAACGGTAATAGAATAACGATAAATTTTTTTAAAAAAATGAAACAAGAATATACATAAATAAAATAAAGAACAAAATTAAGTTAGTTATTAAAAAAAAACCTGTAGTCTCTTTGGTAATGATGTAAATAATGAGAGTGTTAAATCGTCTAATCACATTGTGAATCTTGGATTGATAGGAATTGAAATTTGGAAAGACAGGAGTCAGCCCCCCACGGAGCGTGTAGGTGAGACGAAATAGGATGTCTTTGTTCAAGGGATTTTTTCCAACCTGGAACGGTGTATATAATGTAAATAACGTGCCCAATGAAATGGCAGACTGGGAGGATGGCCAACTTTGGGGCTGGTCTGCCAGGGACATGACCTCCACGTCAGCACCTCTCCCTGTGAACGGGCCGGCCCACCTTTTCCCGGGTGGAATCAGATGGGAGTCTGCCTCGCTGGCCAGACCCTTCTAGGAGAGATGCACTTTTAGAAAGTTCTGACTTGTACTACACCAACATTTTCTTCCGCCCTTTGGCCTACTGATCGGCCGCTGAAGCCACACACAATCTATCCAATCTCTTTTCCCTTTGGGTGCTATATCTGAGACTAAACATTATGCTCCTTCTTCCTGAGTTCTTTTTGGTCCATTCTTGTAGCCTTTTCTCACCCACGTGGGTCCGCCCCTTCTCTACCCTGACCGCTACGGCCTAGATTCATTCCACAGTTTCGTCACCCTCACATGCAGTGTCGGAGGCACAGATGTGAAATCCTTAGTTCTGGACTCACTACATCTATGAAGGCAGCTTAAAATTAATGTGCTTTTTAAGCCATCTCACTACACTGTTTGCTCATTTTAAACCTATAAACAAGATAACAACTCATTCTTTTCAGGTTATTAATCATCCGTAGTCAAAACATGACACGGTAATAGTTCCCAAATATTTTTGTGTGTGTGCCTGAACTGTCTATAAATCTATGGAAAGTGTAATGCGGTAAAGGTCCATTGACTTCTGCATGTAATGAAAATAGCTGCTTAATTTCTCTCTCTCTCGAGGGCTCCCAACCCCCTAACTATCAGATGCGTCATGTTCTGAAGACAAGCAGACTGAAGCTGCATGTTACAGATGGGTAGAGCCTACCTTACAAGGTATTCTTTCCATGGGCCTCATTGTGTCTGGTTCCGCAAGCATGAGTCAGGGCCAGCAATCAGGCATGTACTGAAGGCTTGTTCTGTCCGAGTCTCAGAGTGCATGCCACCTGGCCCTAAGGGGGTGGTCAAAGTACATCAGAATGAATCGCTTCCTCAGGCGGCAGGGATTTACGATGTGCATACAGGACATGACTCTTCTTCCTCTGGGGCCAAATAGCCTGCTGATGGCCCCGGGATGTCCAAAGCAGGCTGCGTCACAGCGTCAGTCCCTAGGAGGCCCTGGCCTCCTGTGGTGTATCCGGACCGAAGTGTGGCGAAGGTTCTGATGCTCCTCATTTTGCAAGTCCTGTCCTTTGTGGAGGAAGGAAGCAAAGATCCAGTATATACCCAGGGAGAGGGTGTGGTTCAAAGGCAAGCACTTTGGGGGCCCATTGGACCTCAGTCTGACTCTGAACTTTACCACTAGACATGCAAATGAGCTCCTCCGAAACTCACTTCTTCCTCTGTGAGAATTGTTAACTGTACTGCAGGGCCGAGTACAAACAACCTGTGTAGTATGTACAGCGTATTAGGACCTACCTGGTGTGACTGATTTCTCTTTTACGTATCTGTCTGGGGCTTCTCAACTAAATTATGTCTCCCCTGCCACCAGCTGAGAATCTGCCACAGCTGAGACTCTTCTGTCTTCCTGCTAGAAGATGTTAATGGTTGATGACGATGAAAATGTGGGTGTGTTTTTTTTTTTTATCCAGCAAGTCTGGGTATGAAAAAAAGGACTGTTTTTCTTGGCGATGAGAAAAAAACAACTTGTAATATACATTGACTCCTGGGCCTGGCAGAAGCCCACTCTGTGCACAGACCTCCCGTCAGGCCAAGGAGGAGCCAGGGACATTCCTGGGCTCGCGGCGGAAACCGTCCCGGCTGCTCCCTCCTGCGTGCCGGGAGCTGCCTTGCTCATCCCCTTGCACTGCGGCCTCCATCCGTGTTACCTTTGCTCCTTCACTGTATTCTGTTCTCATAGAGAGGCAGGAAATCATCAATGCTAAAGTGCATTTTTTAAGCCTCACCTGAGGATATGTGTATTGATGTGAGAAAGAGACAGCAAGACAGACAGAGAAGAGACAGGAATATCAGTCGGTTGCCCCCCCACCCCATGCACCCTGACAAGGGATCAAATCCTCAGCCTTTTGGGTGCATGAGATGGTGCCCCAACCAATGGAGCTACCC